TCCTACAGATCTGTGCTATGGTGTAAATATATTTGAACATATTTTTAATGCTTTAAGCATCAAGCAAGTAGTTTTCTACCTACTTAAGAATTTTCAAATACAGGCAGCATTTGGAAATTCTTAAGTAGGTATAAAACTGCCAACTGCACGATCCAATGGGATTCGAACCAAAAAAGTCAATAAAAATAAATATTGTTATAAAAAAATAATAACGCTGTGTGGTCCCGCCATAGAATATGCCATTCCTTACTTTCCTGTGGGTGTCGTAAAAAGCTACTAAGGGAACATAATGGTTGAGGGATGGGCAGCAGCGTCTCTCTAAGAACATCACCAAAACCTAACTACTTGCCATGCGTGGTAAATACTGGTAAAACCCCCCAGTAAGGGGAGACCTATATTCAGCAGTGAACCGTTAACAGCGGATATGATGATGACGATGATGATGAAAATAAAAAATAAGTAATAATAATATATAACGTGATCACATACAACGTGCTATCTGAGTGCACTACGGTAATTTTTTTTTTGTATTTACTTGTTTACATGGTATACTTTATGGTAATTCGTTATAGAAAACGTATCAAAACATTGTAACTATCTTATCTTACATTGTTACCACTAAATTAATGGGGGGAGAGATTGTTAGTAATGCGGACTACCAGCTCCATCGCTAGCAGGTCGACTTCCACGTGGTCCTGGAAATCATCTTGTTGAATTTCAGGTGTATTCATCGCAATGGGCTAACTGAGCTGCCCTTTCATCTCACCTATCATCCCTCACTAGTGCCCCGCCAACGTGTACCGTTAGCGCAGGCGGGGTTACCATTCGATTATCATCCATTAAAAGGATCCTTTATGAATATAAATATCTAAAACTTTTGTCACTGCTTAACTACGGTAGGTGTAAGTAATTTCTATTAAAATTTAATATTTTTTGTTGAATCTTGTTTATACTGTGTTGCCTATCAAACGGCGTCGAGAGTTCTCTTATTAATTTCACATTTTGATAATATATAGATAAATACTACAATAATATCACATCAAAACATCCGCTTTACTATTGATGTTTGAAGCCAATAAACATCAGTAATTGAGTTGTTTAAAAACTAATTATAAACTCAAATGTCATTCAAACGGTTTGACCGTGAAAAATTTTTCCAAAACCCACATTTCCTGTCGCTATACTCGTGCGTTACGGTGTCCTTTGTACGATTCGTTGACGAGTCATCAATTTTCCGATTTGCCGATTGTTTACGGAAGCGCGGTAGGAAGTGAGTGGCAGTACCAAAGGTAGACGAGGCGATGCAGCATTGCAGCTGGTACGTTAGTCATCGCTGTTTATATACGTGATTATTTTAAACGACTTTGTTTTGAAACGGACGTGGAGATGTCATCACAAAAATAACCTTACACACGTTCTCGTTGTGATTGTCCTCGTTGCAGCGGTAGAAATGGTAACAGCATCTCTCTAATAAAATCACATCGTTTTTCGTACTCAAAACTCAAAGTTATTAGTTCTTTTCTTTTGATGGGTGAAAATGGTATGGTAGCCCCGCCTGCGCTAACGGGATACGCTGGCGGAGCACCAGTGAAGGGTGATAGATGAGAATGAAAACAGGCCAGTTAGCCCATCATGATGAATTTATCAAGAATTAACCATTATAGTTTCCAGGGGAACCGCGAGGAGGTCAACCTGGTTGGGTCTGGGTATGTTGCTAGCAATGTCAGTCTCCATTACTAACAATCCCTTTCCCCCAAAGTTATTTGTTAGCCCGATTATTTCCCTACTTTTTGATCCTTAACTTTATCTGCGTCATATAACTTATAACCTGTATCGAGAGGGGGGAGAAGGGATTGTTAGTAATGGAGATTAGTAGCCCCATTGCTAGCAATATACCCTGTCAGGTCGACCTCCTCGTGGTTCCCCCTGGAAACCATCGTGATTGATTTATTGTTAGATTCGTCACGATGGGCTAACTAACCTGCTTCATCTTTACCTATCATCCCTCACTGGTGCCCCGCCGGTGTATACCGATAGCGCAGGCGGGGTTGCCATTCCATTATCACCCATAAAAAAAAAACCTGTATCGAGAGGTAAAGAGCAGAGGAATCACTGGTAAAAGTGTAAAGTATCTAATTGTAATCGTAGCTAATTGTACAAGAATTAACCGGGAGTGTTTCCAGGAGGAACCGCGTGCAGGTCGACCTAATAGGGTATAATTTATAGCAATGAAGCTGTTGATGATGATGATGAGACGGTAACTGTCCACTACTGAACATAGGTCTCCCCTTTGGGAGGTTTTGCTAGTAGTTGCCACACTTGCTAGGCGGATTGGTAACCTCAATTAGGCTAATGAAGCTGTTAGAACCCTATTACTATCCCTTTCCCTACCTACTTAGTGATCTGAACAGATTTCAATGAAATTTTGTACACAGTGTGCATTACGCACCTTTTTAGTTTCCTTTTTAATTATATTAAAAAAAAAAGTTAATTTGAAGTCATTGCCATATTTTGTTTGTTTCTCCCTACTTCGTCTCTTTTTTGCTTTGTATATATTTTTTTTTATATTACCTTCCTAAAAACACCGTGTTTCCATATCAGCGCACAGAACTTTCTCGCCCATCCAGAGGGGCCAAGTTCTGAATTAACAGATACGTATATTTCTATTAACGTAGACGAAGTTGCGGGATATAGCTGATAGTATTATGTGTAGTACATTACATTAGCGTCTAGCGTCTCTCAGGCCCCTATCGATTTTACTGGCCTATTTCTAGTTTACGTAGCCTAGACTTGTTTGGGCGGAGGCATAATGTTGGAACAACTAGCTAGTTTAATGGAAACATGTCACGGAATAGTGCGTAGCGTACTAACTACGATGTCTACAAGGTGTGTTTGACAATTGATAAAGTAAAATGGCCAATAGAATAGCAGTTAACGGTTCAAAACATACTTTTAACATAATAGGGTCCTGATATTTAAGAATATTTAATGTATGCATTTGACATTGCATACGAGTTTATTAAGTCCGAATAAAATTTGGTAAATATTTTGTTTACTTCACTAGTTACAAAATTATTATGGGATCAACGTAAAAAAAGTACCGGTTCAGAATTGGCAAAGATATTGTGTTACAAACACACAAAATATTACCGCCGAAATGAGTTCTCCTCCTCTCTCTGGAACTGAACATAGATATAAAATCTAAAATATGAATGTTTTCAGCCTCGTGTGGGGTTATTTTGAGACTTGTATATTTCGAACGTAGGTAAACTGACATAAAAACCGCTTTTTTCAACTGACTTCAAAAAGGAGTTTCTAAATTCGGTTTTTTTTTATGTTTGTTATCTCATAATTCTGTTATTTATAAAAAGGTTTAGATTTTTTTTATCTGAAAGGAAATACTTTTCAATGGTTCGATATATAATTTTTATCAAAATCGGTTTTAGTCGTTTAATTTTAAAATATCAGTTCTAAACCCATTTGGGAAATACTTTTTTTATCTGAAAGGATATATTTACTGTTTGGTCCCATAGATATTTTGTCAAAATCGGTTTAACAGTTTAATTTTTAGACCAAAGTAACTGACTTTGCCACAACTGATGTCGGTATGTTGTGCGACACAGTCTTTTATTGGTTAACTGATATTTATATGTCATATATACAGATTTGTTTATTTATAGAACTATTTTATAACAAAAACATTTAAAGAATAAGCACAGAGATTACACAGTTTATTTTTAAAGGGAGTTTATTTATAAATTGCACTAAGTACAGTCTTATACTCTTATAAAGGAATTTTCTCCAATTTATTTTTATGCACCTAAGAGGAATTGAGGAATGGCGGAAATAGTGATAAAAAAAATTACGCATGTAACTTGTATTTTTATATATATATATACATAAGACATAAGAGTATAATTTACTGAATCTTCCACCGTGAAGCAGTTGTGTTTGCACAACTGTGTTTCAGTTTGAAGGGCGGGATATGGCAGTGAATTTACAGGGTACAGAGGAATAACATGCTATGTAAATGTAAAGACTTGGACACTTTCAAAAATGACATTAAGGATATATTAAATAAAATAATAACATGGTTAACAAAAAATAATTTAAAAATTAATTTACTTAAAACAAAAATAATTCATTAAAGTACTTGACCGTCACTGGAAGCTTTATACATTGAGAGAGCATTTCCGTTTCCGTCGTTAGCCAGTCCTAATTTATTATTATTATACCGGAATTTCCGGCTCAGTGGCGACACCTGGCGGGGATGCACGATTTTTACTTTTGTAAAAATGTGCTTCCTATCGTCATTGGCGTTTCGTTTTTCGTCGAAGTAACTTGTCTGCAGCAACACTGTTTCTGCAGTGGTACTCAGTAAATAAGTATAAAGTGATTTAATTATCCTTAAGAAACACTGTAAGTACCTTTTATTTTATTATATCGTGATCGTTATTTATAAACGATTTTTCGTTCGGATTACGATATTGCATTACTTTTAGCCAGTAACATATTCGTACGATCCTCTTAATTCATATTAAGAGTAAATGCTATTCGACTAAAAATTGATTATAAGGATTTATAATAATAATTTTATAATAATTTTTATTTCACCGTCCATTTTTAATGCAATTCTTAACAAAAGTTATTTTTAGAAATTTCATACCTGTAAGAGTACCTTCACTACTTTTTCTTTAGATAAGGATTTTTTTTTAATATCTTTTGTTTATAGGATGGCTGATGATGAGAATGATTTATGTGATAAGCCGCAAGCTGTAGCTGGTTCCAGTGGGACTTCGCGCAAGCGAATCCTAAGTGTAAGTAGCAGTTCAAGCAGCTCTTCTAGTTCGTCATATTCAGACAAACAGTCGCGCCGCCACCGTAAGAAAGGCAAGCGTGCTCGTCGCACTGCACGCAAAATGGACAAATTGGTGAAAGAATTGGGTGAGCTCAAAGAAATGTTTATTATTAGTAAGAATGTTGAAAATGATACATTTTGACATGACAACGTGTCGCTTTCATCTGAGGTTAGTGGCCAGCTATATACTGATGTCGTTGACGATTGCTTTTCTTGTGAAAATAAAGATTTTACTTTTGATATTGATACTAAGTTAAAGGAACCAGTTGTCCCAAAAACACCCGATGATTTTTTAAAAAAGTTGCTAGAGGTTCAGCGCCTAGGCACCTCCTCCTGGTCCGATGTGAGATATGCTGAAACACAAAAGTTGTATAATCATACTCCAGGCTATACTGATTTAGAAACTAATGAGGAAGTCAAAATGTATGACACTTCTCGTAACTTAGCGTATGCTGACAAATCATACGCGGCTATAACTTTTTGCATTTTAAAGCAAAGAGAATCCCTTCAAGAGGGATTTCGTGACCTTCTTTCTTGGGCCAAAAATACGAAAGAATTAAATGTTGAAAATTTAAATCTACAGTTAGAGCAAATATTTCAAAAAGGTCCTTTCCATAAAATATCTTCCGATTTATTACAATTAGTTTGTGGCCATAGAGCTGAATCTATTGAAATGCGGCGGGAGAGTATTATAAGCCAAGTCCGTGATCCTCTGATAAAAGCTTCTCTGAATAGAATTCCTCCATCTGCTACATTCATATTTGATGCTGAGCCTTTTACATCTACATTAGGAAAAGTTGGTGGAATGCGAAAAGCATTCTGGCCTTTAAAACGTGATAAAATTTCACAATATAAAAATCAACCTAATCTATCTAACCGCCATCCCTCGCGGGGACAAGGCATAAAGAGACAAGCGGTTCCATCGCGTGGAAACCAATATTACTCTTACGAACCAAGTTTGCATGCACATGCATGTAATAATCCACCCTCGCGGGGTGGATATCAGTGTCAACATACTGTCTACCCTCCTGTACGATATACTTCTAATGTTCAATACACTAACACAGGCAAGGGTACATTTCACGACCGTGGCTCGCAGCACAACCGTGGAAATAACCGAGAACGTACAAATACGTCCAGAAATTCCCATAAAGGAAATCAAAAAATACAGAAACAATGACTCAAAGCCATTTCGAGCAGGTCAGTTAAAACTCTTCCACACACAATGGAAAGATATGGGTGCACCAGAAATTGTTTTGCAATTAATTCAAGGCTATCGCATACCTTTCTTTCAAAAACCTCCTCTATTATATCCAAATCTAAAACAATGCCCCTTGCAAACTCCTGTCTCAAAAGAAATGTCCATAATAATAAACAAAATGAAATCGCAAGGAATTCTTAAAGTCGCCCATGTCTCTCCCAGCTTTGTTTCGCCTCTATTTCTGGTACCAAAATCAGACGGAACAGCTCGTCCTATATTCAATCTAAGAGCACTAAACAAATATGTAACAGTCAAACCGTTTCATCTCATAAACATGCACCGCATTCCGAACTTCCTGCAACCTCGGGACTGGCTATGCAAAGTAGATTTGTCGCAGGCCTATTTTCACCTCAGTATAAAAAAGTCACAAAGACGCTTCCTACGACTGATATACAACCAACAATTATTAGAGATGACTTGTCTTCCGTTTGGCCTGAGTACAGCCCCAAAAACCTTCTCCATACTGTCCAATTGGATTGCTCAAATGTTGCGGCAAAAATGGAACGTACGAATCATAGTGTACCTAGACGACTTCCTTATTGCACATCAGAATCAAAATACCTTGCGCAACCATGTAAAACTTACGATACAAACGCTACAGAATTTGGGTTGGCAAATAAATTTCGAAAAATCGGTACTTTACCCTCAAAAGAATATAATTTATTTAGGTATAGACTGAAAACCTTGGGAGAATCTAAAATCTCTACCAAAGGAGAAGGTTATCGCCTTAGCAAAAAAGACGAATTATATACTCGAACAACAAAAAGTAACTGTCAAAGAGTTACAACAAATAGTAGGGATTCTAAACTTTGCCAGTTTTGTTGTGCCACGAGGACGACTCAATCATCGACAATTATTAACAATGATGAATTCACTACCACAAACGTCATCTCGAGCTTACCCACTAACGAAAGAAGCCAACAACGAATTAAAATGGTGGGTACAGAATTGCCATTTATCCACACCACTACATCACCCTCCTGCGGTGAATTTCTTAGCAACAGATGCTTCGGATCGGGCGTGGGGGTCACAAATAAACAATCTAGCTCTCTCGGGGACCTGGTCACCAGAGGAACAGAATCTTCACTGCAATCAAAAGGAGATGTTGGCCATACTTCATGCTCTCCAAAGTTATGCTCCTCAGATAAGTCGCAGCTCAATCCTAATTCAATGCGACAGCAAAACGGCAGTCGCTTATCTACAGAAAGGAGGTACAAAATCAATAGCATTATTGGAAATAACTTCACAAATTCTAAATTTACTCGATCATTATCAAATACATTTCAACATACATTACCTTCCAGGCAAATTCAACAATTATGCCGATCATTTAAGTCGCCATCGCCGACCCCCGGAGTGGCATTTATTACCTGCATGTGTGGAAGTAATCTTTGCAAAGTGGGGCAACCCAGTGATAGATCTTTTTGCATCAAAAACGGCACATGTAACAAGCAATTATGTGTCTCGAGATTTAACCGATCATCAAGCCTTATTTCACGATGCATTCAGCGTCCCATGGAATTATCCAATTGCATAGGTATTTCCACCCCCATATTTGGTTCCCAAAGTATTAACTCACTTAAATCAGTCGACGGGGACATTTTTGTTAGTAGTTCCTCGGTGGGAAAAAGTATTTTGGCGAGCGGATCTGAAAACCCGCGCGCTATCAGCACCGTTTACTCTGAGGAACCTCAACCAACATCTAGTCGATACGTCGACAGGCCTCCCACCTCCGAAAGTAGACGAGATTGTACTGGAGGTGTGGAAATGTGGGGGTGGTCTTCAGCGATAGAATCATGGAACTTTGAACAACGCTCATTACTCAAAAACTCATGGCGTAAGTCTACTTTGAAAACTTACCAAACAGCATGGGCACGCTGGATTTCTTGGTGTAGAAATAAAAGTATCAATCCAACAAATCCAACTGGATCACAGTTAGCTCAATTTTTATGTGATCTACATTTAGTAGATAAATTATCTTATAATACGATTCTTCTACACAAATCAGTTGTTGCCACTTTATGTAATACCGATATGTTTTGTCAACTAAGTTCACATGTCCTAGTAAAACATATTTTAAAAGCAATTTCCCTAAAAAATCCAAAAACTTGTAAGCCACCCATTTGGAATGTCAGTAAGTTGTGTCAATTCCTAAACAATTGCATAATAGATATGAATAATATATTTCAAGTATCACGACATACTGTCATTTTGTTACTACTATGCTCAGGCAGACGTATTCATGATTTAACGTTACTCAGGATAGATCCACCTTACTGTGTAAAATCTGATGATAATATAATTTTTGGGCCCCAATTTGGCTCAAAAACTGACAGCAGTACTTATAGACAATCTGGTTGGAAATTACTTTTAAATCCCGATAACCGTAATCTAAATCCGCTATTTTGGATAGAGAGAACTATATCTTTGTTAAAAGAAAGACGTGATGCTACAAAGTCTTTTAATTTATTCATTACAATTAGAGGTGTTGCCAAGCCTGCTTCACGAACCGTAATAGCTGGATGGATCAGAACGCTGTTAAAGGAAGCCGATATAGCAGCTACTCCAGGAAGCGTTCGATCAGCTGAAGCCTCTAAAAGTTGGCTAGAGAATCATTCTGTTGAAGATATTCTAGCTCGTGGGAATGGGCAATCTGTTAATACATTCCAACAGTTTTATAGAAGAGAAGTTATTAGGAGCTATAATTCTGATACCATTACTCGATTGTTTAATCCAATTACTTGATTTATCATGGGTTTCGTTTGGTACAGACTAATAATTAATAAAATCATTATAATTTAGTTATACTTAATTTTGTTAGCACAAGTACATGAATTATGTAATATTTATTATGTTACCTAATTATATATAATATAAAGACGAGTTTATTTTTGCTGTAATCTAATCATTATCACATTGGCGTTTCAATTACTTATTATTCAAAGTACCTAATTATATATAGCAAGCAGGTATGGCATTGCATATACACCCCTAGTTCCTATTTCGATAACTTAATGCTTCACAAGTCCTGAGCTTTAAGCCCACCTTGTACCTTTGTGTATTAAAATTTAATTAAACAAAGAAGTAGTGGCGTCACCAGGCAATAACAAACAGGTCTCAATGTATAAAGCTTCCAGTGACGGTCAAGTACTTTAATAGCAGCGTTTTACCTGAAATAAAACGCATATTAAAATACTTACCTCACTGGAAGCTTTAATTTTATTTTGCCTGGTGAAACATTGAGTCAATGACGATAGGAAGCACGATTTTTACAAAAGTAAAAATCGTGCATCCCCGCCAGGTGTCGCCACTGAGCCGGAAATTCCGGTATAATAATAATAATTTAGGACTGGCTAACGACGGAAACGGAAATGCTCTCTCAATGTATAAAGCTTCCAGTGAGGTAAGTATTTTAATATGCGTTTTATTTCAGGTAAAACGCTGCTATTTCAAAACTTATTCAAGCCCCAACCTTGACCTAAATATAAATTACAAAAATAATAATATAGAAGTAGTGGATTCCACTACTTTTTTAGGTATCACGTTAGATAAACATTTAAATTGGAAGAAACACGTTGATAATGTTTGTAAAAAAATTAATAAATTTGTATTTGCATTGTATAAATTGCGCCAGATTGCAACCATACAGACTGCTCTTAGTGCATATCATGGATTCGTTTCATCGGCACTTAGTTATGGTTTGATTATTTGGGGGAATTCGCCTGACATAGAAAGAGTCCTCAAAGCGCAAAAAAAATGTATAAGGGCTATTAGCAATGTGGGGTGCCGGGAATCTTGTAGGCCATTATTTAAAAAATTAGGAATCCTTCCCCTGACTTGCATGTATATATTTGCTATATGTACTTTTATTAAGCAACACCCTGAATTATTTAATACATGCGGACAACTCAAAGAAGGCATTAGATCACACAGAAAAAATAAACTTGTGATACCAAAAAGTAATTTGACCTTGTACCAAAAGAATGTTTCATTTATGGCCCAAAAAATATATAATAAACTTCCTTCAGATCTTTTAGACCTTCCCTTGAAAATATTTAAGAAACGGCTTCATCTATGGCTTCTGGATAAGGTCTTTTACAGTATGGGAGAATATTATGCCTACACATCCCAAAAATAGTTAACATAATTATTAAAAATATAAATCCTTAAGACTTGACATAAATTTGCTATTGACATAACATATGGAATGTAATTTGTATTTAATTAATAATAATAATGTAATTGTTAATTTTATTTGACGATATTGAATATGTACTTACATTTATTGATTTGACTTGATAATTGTTTGAGCATTGTTTTCTTTTTTTTTTTATTCTATGATCATAATAATGTAGTATAAATTAAATTTGTATCCTTATTTAAGGAATAAATTAGATTTGCATGCCTACAATTTTAAGGCAATTAAACAGATGCCAAAAAGTTTTGTCACATGGCCCTTATAATGTCAAATGTCTGTTTAAAGCAAATAAATATTTCATTTCATTTCATTTCAACACCCGAGTCCTCAGATATGGCGATGCATGGGAGTCCATGTCCATGGTACTGTTCATGTCTGTAGGTGTCAGTTACCACTTTCCATCAAGTGGGCCGTCAGCTTGTTTGCCATTCTAAGTTGCATAAAAAAGTAATAGATTTATTTACTGTCTCTCAGTAATATTTGAATCGTTTTTATAACCCTACTCGTCGTGACAAAGTAATAGTCTTTATTGCTATTTTATTTTACCAAATAAAATTCTATAATGTGATAACAAACATTGTTCAGGGCATGTGTTACGTAAAAGTGTCGGTAAACAGCAGTGGGCGAGTGGTGGGCGAACAATCATGTTCACTCCCACTGTCACTCAGTAAATCCAACAGCCACAATTTCGTCTATATCACTTCCAATGCTCTTGTTCATA